GCCAGAGGCTGCAAACAGACATCCGTCCTGATGTTTCAATACGTTGGATCTCTGGGGAGTGGCGTTGGGGAGTGGTCGGCCACGCGCAGAACGGGGCAGGGGGAGGGGGAAAGGCTTCTCGGAAACGCCCCTGCTTCTCTTAGAAGGCGCGGGCCGCGCGTGCAGGTGCAGGGCCAGCGCCTTCTAAGAGGCGGCCTCCCTCCATGGAGCCTTCCCCCTCCCCCTGCCCCGCTCTTGCGCGCCCGTATAAGAATGGGTCGAGGCCTCTGGGGTCGACGTCATGAGGAGGAGGAGGAGGAGGAGGAGGAGGAGGGAGCAAAAATCATGGCGTCGGGGGTCTCGGCGAGGGGCCCCGGAGCCGGAGAGCCCCAGTGCTTCGGGGTCTCCCGCCGTCGCCCTCCTTGCGAGCAGCGCCGACGTCGAGAGCGCATGCCCGCGCGCTTCTGCCGTCGGCAGGGTTCATTTCGACGCCGCCGCTTCGATTCGATTCGATTTCGAGGGGTTCCGATTCCGTTTCGATTCGACGTCGGGCGATTCGGGAGCCGCTTTCTCATTGGAGGCCCACTAGCCTGTCAACTTCCGCCGGGTGGACTTCTCCCGACTCGGTTGCCGATTTCCGCCGATACGTCTCATGTCGATCGCCGGACCGATTTATCGATTCGATTCTGGGCTCTCCTGCCTCTGCGAGCGGCGCCGACGTCGAGAATGTATGCCCGCGCGCATGTTTCTGCCGTCGGGGTGGAATTTGTACCCCGACGTGCCACCGCAATTCAGGGCATAAACTTCCCAACCGCCCTGGGACAGGCGCAGCCGACGGCGGAATATGTTGTCATCTGAGTATGGTAAGGACTGGCAACTATCCAAGGGTACTTTTGCACCCTTTCCCTTTCGGCCCATCCTCAGCGAGTTTCCCTGGCCAGTCTCGTTCGACAGACGTCAACATGGTCCTCCCAGGCCCTTGCATCCTTGCAGCGCGTCCTTAGATCCGACGGCGCGAAAAAATGAAGACATCGCGAAAAGTCACTTCCGAAACCCTAGACCCCATCGTTCCGCGTCATTTCTCGAGCGGGATCGATCTGTGGGGGTCCCAGGGCCCGAAACCCAACGAAAACGCCCGTCGCCAAAAATTGAGACGCCAGGAGGGTACGGGTCAATTGTACCAGTCGTCGTCCACGAACTCGTTCATTTTTTTTGGTCACCAGAGAGCTAGACACACACGGGGCGTTCCATGGAGGACTTCGGTAACAAATCATGGGAGCCTGGTATGCCCTCTCAAGTCGTATCTAACGTCGACTCGTGTCGATTGGCGTCTGGGAGTCGATGAGGTAGGGTTGATTTAGCGTCGATGCAGTGTCGGCGCCGATTTCGCGTCCACGAGCGTCAATCTAGCGCCGATTCGCGTCGATACGGAAGAGCCGACAAGGTGGTATGGAAGGCCCCCAGGAGTTGCCACCGTGAACGGGTCGTTCCAGAGGGGGGCTCGCCGTCCAAGGGCTGGGGGGGGTGAGAGCTCCATTTTTCCACGGGGAGGCGGCGGGCCAGGCCAGCAGCGGCAAAAACGTAGGCGGCCCCGCGAGCGGAGGCGGGCAAAAGGCTTGCGAGGGCCAGTGGAAGTAGAGATCCGCCCTCCAAGAGTCGAGCAGTGGCGAAGCGTCCTGGCTTTCCCGTCGGCCCACCAAAGGATGTTCTAAGAGCCTCGTGTCGGTCTGCACGGAATTCTCTCAGAACGTGTTTAGCTGGGGCTGTCTATTTTCAGCAGCACCGGTATGATGCTCTCAGGACATTGCTTGTGTTCTTGGAGCACTGTCAGGGCTCGAAGAGCACGTCGTGGTGGGCATCTAAGCCTGCCAGACGGTTGGTCCCCGCCCCGAAGAGATGTTCATCGTTCTGGTTCCGGGGCTCCTGGAACGGGCCACACGTCGCGGCAGGCCTCGACGAGCGCAGGGGTGCACCGTGTGGCTGGGCGTCCTTCCAGCGCTGCGCCCTCCTGTGGTCGGCCGCGCCGGGCTTCCGCAGTGTGCACCCATCGCATGGCTTCCAGTCGTGAGCCGGCATCCAGCACCCATCCCTACAGTCGAGACCGCTCAGAGGGTCGGCCCTGCCGAATCAAGGGTGCCCTTATGTCCTGAGCGCTTCGCGACCCACGTATTTTCACATTCCTATGGCAACGTGGCCCTCGGAAGGGTCTCGTGTCCGCTCGCGTGTCCTCTCCAATCAGTCCCGACTGTGTGCGACCATTCGATCTCTCGGTGTGGAATACCGTCGGACCGAGGTAGAAGATCGAGGTCGGTTCGGGGAGGGTACCCTAATGTTCTTCGTGTTAGTTGGATGTTCTTGTGCATCCTGGGGAGGATACCCTTGAATATTTTGCTTGCTTTGGTTGCGGGAGGGTCTCATGTTCTTGAAGGAGGTTCTTCTGGCCTAGGTCCGACTGTACCGTCTGGGGCTACAGGGCGTACGTTGTCGGATGCCCCCCCCGCGCTCGAACGGGAGAGCCCCCGTTCGGGGTCCGGCGCCCCGCACCCCTACCCATATAGCGCCTTCGCCTCCTCGCACTGCCCCACTCTTTCTCCCCATCGCTTCGAGCGTGCGCTGTTCTTTCGTCCTCTGGCTGCCCCACCTGTGACTCCAGCCGTGCGTCTTTCAAGCCTCTTGGTCCTCGCCGCGGGGTGTGGGGGCTCGTCGCCCCCCGGCGGGGCGCGGCCCGAAAAGGGGGCCAGGGTGGACTCAGAGAGGGGCCAGGGATGTGGCCACGGCGACGGCAGTCACGGCGGCGGCGGCGCTGCCGGCAAACCTGGCCAGGGGGCGGCCACGGCAGCGCTGGCGGCAGTGGCGCCGGCGGCCCCGGCGACGACGGTGGCGGCGACGACGACAACGCCCTCGACAGGCCCGGGACGTGGCGCAGACTCGCTTATGCCGCTCGCAGCTCTCAAGAAAACGTAGGCAGGTTGCCCCAACATCGAATCTCTCTGGCGGGACCCCCCTCGAAGGCGCACAGCCCTGACGACCAACGTGTCAGGTGCGAGGGCGGAGGGTGGAAGGGAGGAAGGGGGAGGGGGGCATTCTGGTGGTCGCCCACCCACTTGCCCGCCGGCCGGCGCGCCATGAAGAGTGAGTCCTAACTACAGGAGGAGAACCCTGACGCACCGAAGGCGAGAGGGGCGCACGACGAGCCAGGAGGGGAGGCGGGGTGGAGCGAGCGAGAGGGGGACGAACGACGATCGGGACAGGCACTGCGGTGCACAGGGGGAGGGGAAGGCAGGGCGGTGGGGGAGGAAGTGGGAAGAGGGGACGCGCTGGGAGGGCAGGGTTGCCTGTGGGGAGAGGGGGGGCGGTCGAGAGAAATCGCAGCCGCAGCTGCGGCTGCCGCCGGTGCTGCCGACGACGCCGCTGGCATGGCTGCTGCCGCCGCCGCCACTTGCTGTGCCTGTGTGAGTGCCGATCCTTCCGTTTCCTTCCCCCTTCCACGTTTGGGTGTTTGCCGCTGCAGCCGCCACCGCCCCCGCTGCCACTGCCGCTGTGACCGCCGCCGCTGCTGTCGTTGTCGCCGCCGCCATCGCTGGCGCCGCTGCGTGTGGGTGGGTGGGGTGCCCGTCAGGGCGATGCCGCGGATGAGCGCGTACGGTACGAGCACCTGTGGCACGAGGACCCCCAGGCCGAGATGTGTCTCAGCGAGGAGGCAGCCGGGCATACCGCCTCCCGCTTCGCCCGTCGTCGTCTTCGCCGCCAGGCGGTTTGCCATTCAGCCGCAGGGCTCCGCCGCGATGGCGAAACGTGTCCCGGCGAGGCGGCGGCTTGACAGGGGTTGCGTGGGTCTCCGCAGGGGTTGCTAAGGGGAGAGTTGGCCGAAGCCAGCATACTTACGAGCTGCCTACCAGGGCCCAAGGTCGTTGGAGGGGGATCTGATGACTTCGCTGTGTGGGCCCCGCCCATTTGGCGCATACCTGTACCCCTCTGAGGCACTCAGGCCACTTGCAGCCCACTTGATGTGTTGGGTGCGGCCATGTGCAATCCATTTTCGTATCCACGCCCTCCGCCCCCCCCGCGGTGGTCCATGTAGGGTGGGGCCAAAAATGGGGAGGTGGAATAGGAAGAGAAGCTGGAGGAGGAGGAGGAGGAGGAGGAGGAGGAGGAGGAGCCGTAGGAGGAGGAGGAGGAGGAGGACGAGGACGAGGACGAGGAGGAGGAGGAGGACGAGGAGGAGGTGCGCACGCATCCCAGCAGCCCCTCTGCCTCCTCTCCTGGACCTCTCGCGCCGCTGGCCGCTTCGGGCCTTGGCCAAGAACCGGCTGCGGCCGAGGTCGCCTCCGGAAGTGGGCGGACGGGTTCAGGCGAGGCGTTTCTCCCTCGTTCACCCTTTATTCCGTCCTGTCTCTCCTGCCTACTTGCTCCCTCTTTTCTCCCCCCCCCCTCTCCCCTGTCCCCCTTTTCCATCCTGCTGTAACTCCTTCCTTCTGCCCCCTTTTCCTCCCTCCTGCTTTTCCTCCCCCCCCCCCTTCTCTCATAGATCCTCAATGATCCTTCCCCTCCTTCCCCCATCGCCCTCCATCACCATCGTGTCCCCTCCTTCTCCAATTTTCCCTCCTCCTCCCTCCTCCTCCTCGCCTCCTCCTCCTCCTCCTCCTCCTCCGCCGCTGGCCCCCCTCGCTCCTCCTCCCCCCCTCCCCTCCCCCTTCTTCGCCCCGTTCCCCCCTCATCACCCACGTCCCTCCTCCCCTCCCCAGTGCAGATCAACCCGCCAGGAGGAGGAGGAGGAGGAGGAGGAGGAGGAGGAGGGAGAGGAGGGAGGAGGAGGAGGGGAGGAGGAGGAGGAGGAGGAGGAGGAAGAGGAGGAGGAGGAGGAGGAGGAGGAGGAGGAGGGCGGAGGAGGAGGCGGAGGAGGGCAGAGGAGGAGCCCCCGAGGGCCTCCCGAAGCTTTCCGGCCCAGGCCCCTCGCCGCGCCGAGGCGCTGGCCGAGGCCTGCCCGCGGCCTCGCGCGGGCGCGCGGCCTCGCGCTGGCCATGGCCGGGGCCGCCTGCGCGCTGGACCGGCGGAGGCCTGCCGGGTGCTGCCTCGCTCCCACAGCGCTGGAGCCGGGCGCCTGGGAGTGCAGCGTGGACGGCGGTGGGTGGGTGCCGTACGAGTGGCCGGTGATCCCCGGACGTGCGTGCGTCGTGAGTCGAAGACGAGGAGGCATCATGCACGTATTGGCTTGTTGCGCCCCGCGCAGAGCGCCAGAAGTTTCTGTGTTTGTGGTGTTGTTTTCTTCTTCTGGTGATCCTGGGACATGCGTTCGTGACAGACAGAGACAGCCAGCGTCTCGAGAAAGTTTAGATTCGGTGAATTTCGGCCTCTCGGGGCCCTCAGCAGGCCTCGGGGCTGTTAAGAGAAAGCTCGGGATGGAAAAACAATCGGGGGGAAGTGGTCGAGGTCTCAAAACATCGAAATATTAGGGAGAGCATGCTACGTATGGAATGATGAAGTCAATGATGGGATGAACGATGAGGCGATGCTGGCTTTTTTGATTATGAGCCGGCTATGATGCCCACTCGTGCCCACCCCGCCCCGTCTTCAGGGACTTCGCATCGTCCTGCGATGGTGGGGTGGGAAGACGGGCCGCCACCCCTGGCACTGCACGTACGGTGCCATGTTCGTGGGGATTTGCCCCTTGGCCCCTATGATGGGAGCTGCGGAGGGTGTGAGGCCGCATGGCGGTCCTCACTGGTAAGGACTATGATGGCCTCGGTGGGGGGAGGGGGAAGAGGAGTACCTGAGAAGGGCCGCGGGCGAAACTGAACAAAAAACCGGACAGATCGCTCCTTGGCCCCCCACCAGCCCCACGCGAAGGGGCGAGCATCTATACGGGCGTAGCACCGCGCTGGATGCGATACATTTCGGCTGGGTCAGGCATGGGAAGACCCTATACTTAATCGCGTGGCGCGTGGAAGCCCGCACCGACCACGACTCTTTGCAGGCCCGCACCGACCACGACTCTTTGCACCTCCCTGGCTTGAAGCTGCCAGCGACATGTCCTCACACCCCTCGCTAAACACTGCCAGCGAAATATTCTCACCCCCGGGCCAAAAGCTGCCAGCGAAATATCCTCACACCCCTCGCCCAAAACTACCAGCGAAATATCGCCACCCCCTGGCGCCTGAAACTGCCAGCGAGATATTCCCTACCCAGCGAGATATCCGCAACCCCGTGACTTAAAACTGCCAGCGAAATATCCCCACTCCCTGGCCTAGAACTGCAAGCGAAATATCCTCAACTCCCTGACCAAAAACTGCCAGCGAAATATCCTCATCCCCTGGCCGAAAGCAGCCAGCGAAATATCCCCACACCCCCTTTATCTTAAAACTGCCAGCGAGGTATCATCACACCCCAGCGAAATACCCTCACACCCCTCGCTTACAACTGCCAGGCTTGAAACTGCCTGCGGGATATCCGCAACCCCTTGGCTCAAAACTGCCAGAGAAAAAAAACTCATCCCCCAGCCTTAAACTGCCGGCGAACTATCCTCACACCCCTCGCTTCAAATTGCGAGCGAAGGATCCTCACACCTATCGCTCCAAACTGCCAGAGAAATATGTCACCCCCCTGGCCTAAAACTGCCAACGAGGTATCATCAACCCCCTGATGAAAAATCGCCTGCGACATATCCCCACCCCTGGCCAAAAACTGCCAGCGAGATATCCTCGAACCCCAGCGCTTAAAACCGCCAGCAAAGTATCCCCACCCCCTTGCCTAAATCTGCCGGCGATCTGTCCTCACATCCTTCGCTGAAGGTTCCAGCGAAATATCCGCACCCCTCGCTTTAGATTGCCAGCGAGATATCCTCACACCCTCGCTAAAAACTGACCGCGAAGTATCCTCTTCCCCAGGCTTATAACCGCCACCGAAATATGCTCACACCCATCGCTAAACAAAACTGCTAGCGAAGTATTCGCACCCCCCAGGCCTCAAACTGCCAGCGAGAAATCCTTAACCCCGTGACTTAAAACTGCCAGCGACATATCCCCACCCCCTGGCCTAAAACTGCCAGCGACATGCTTTCACCCCCTGGCTCAAAACTGCCAGCGAAGTATCCTCACCCCCCTTAGAACCGCCAGCAAAATATCCCCACCCCCTGACTTTAAACTGCCATCTAACGGCGCTGGTGATTCAGTTCTGTCTGTTCAGTTCAATTTCCCTTCGCTCGAAGTTGCCAGCAACATATCCGCACACCCTTCGCTTAAAATTGCCAGCGGTATATCCCCATCCCGTGGACTACTGCTGCCAGCGAGATATCCTCAAACCCCGCGCTTCAGATTGCCAGCGTAAAATGTTCACGCCCTGGCCTTCCATTTCCAGCGAGGTATCATCACACCCCTCGCTTAAAGCTGCCAGCGAAATATACCCCCCCCAGGCCTCACATTGCCAGCGAAATATCCTCACACCCCGTGACTTCAAAATGCCAGCGACACATCCCCACCCCCTGGCCTAAAATTGCCAGCGAGATGTTTGCACCCCCCGATTTAAAATTGCCAGAGACGTATCCCCACACCCCTCGCTGAAAACTGCCAGCGATATAGCCTCACCCCCCTGGCTTAGAACTGCCAGCGAAGTATCCTCACAGACCCATGCCTCCTGCATTCCTACGGCAGCGTGGCCCTCGGAAGGGGCCTGTGTCCTCTCGCGTGTCCTGCCCAATCGAGTCCGACTGGAAAACGGCCAGCGGCCAGCGGGATATCCCCCACCCCCCGACTTAAAACTGGCATCTAACGGATTCGGTGATTCAGCGCAGTTCTGATTGTTCGTTTCCCGGTAGTGAAATTTCGGGCTGCGTCCATAAGCCACCGGCCAAGCCCAGGCACGAGAGAGCCCACCCTCAAAAGAAGCGGGCGGCCCTCCGCAGCCATCTTGACCCGAGGCTCGAGCAGGCCGCGCCCGTGCAGCGCGCCATGGGCACGCGCCATGCCTCACAGCGCCAGGGCGATCGCGATCTGCTCGACCGCAGGGGCCCTCATCACCACCTATGCCGGTGGGTCTGCTCTCCACCGCCACCACCAGAAGCAGGAGGGGGAGGACGTCCTCCTCCGCCTCCTCCTCCTGCTCCTCCTCCACCTCCCTTCCTCCTCCCCAGAGCGTGAAGTACCTACCCCGCTTTCGCGTCCAGGCAAACCCAAGTCATACCACGCGCCTCCTCGTCAAGCGGCCTGACCGGTACAGGCCATGTTTGGGCATCTTTTGGTATCTCTTGGAAGCGAGGGTGGTCAAAAGCGAGGTAGGTTTGTTTTGCCCCTACCTCCCCCCATCCAAGTTATGGTGTCAGGGGAGCGTAAGACCCGGGTTTGCCAGGACTCGGGTTCGCCATCGTTTTTTGACGACCGCGCCTCGGATTTTGACGAGGAGGAGTTTCGTGGGATGTCTGCAGCGGGAGGCCTCGTCAAAATGCAGGCTCGGCCTCGTCATTTTTTTGACGACCTCGTCGGGGATTTCCGAGTCCCCCGTACCCGGGTCTTACGTCTCCCCGATCCAAGTTATGGTGGTGGTCGTGGTGGAAAGCACGGCCCATCCGATGCGCTCTGCCTGCTCGGCGCGGCCCTGCTGCAGGGCCAGCCCCCCGCGGGCCCGCGGGCGCTCCGCGGGCCGCTCGCGCTGTTTTCCCTCCAGGGGAGCGAAAGGGGGCACAAGCACGAAACCTCGGAGGTCCGCGCCTTCATGCTTACACCCTGGGCGATGCTTAAGAAAACTTAAGTTTTTGGCCAGAGTCTCGATTATTCTTAATGTTTCAATGTAAATCCTAAGATTTCAATAGAACTTCTGGGTTTGTATTCAAATTCTGAGACTCTGAGTTTCTTAACCCATGATTTCTTAAGCATTTCGCAGGGTGTATGCCATTCTTCGTTCCCCTGCCTTCGGCCTGGCCAGCAGACTCGACGCGGCGGCGCCGCCCGCGGACCCGGCGGCGGCGGCGGCCGGCCCAGCACCTGGGCTGGCGCCAGGCGCGCCGACGCCGGGGCTGCCCGCAGCTGGCGAAGGCCGCGGGCCTGCTGGCGGGGGCGCGGGAGAAGACGAGCGAGGTCTCCCGGCCGTGCTGGAGCACGGCTGGTTCAATGATCCCAGTTGCACGAGTCATGATACCCCCTGGAAGGGCGCCCGCAAGAAAGACGTCTGGCGTCCCAACGGGACCTGCCTCCACACGGATGACAAGGAGTCGTACCGGTTTGTCTGCAACGCGTCCCTCGGGCTCGTGCTCGTGGAGAAGACGAATCGGCATTGCAGCAAGGTGAATGGGCAGTGGCCCATGGCGCCCGAGATGTGGCAGCGCATAAAGCGGGGCGAGTGCATCTTCTATGGCACCGCCGAGAATGGCCACGACGTGTACAGCCAGCTGAACACGACGCTGCCAGCATCGTACGGCGTGGGCTGCGCGGCCTTCCCCCCGCCCCCGCGGCCTTCTGTCGGGGACACGGCCGGCGTCGCCTGCCCTCCCGGCTCGGCCGCGCTCGGGCTGGACGGCGGGCGCAGACTCGAGCTGAGCCTCCTCCTCCCGTCGAAGTTCAGAGAAGCCTTTGCCTCCGAGAAGGATCAGCCGTACAGCTTCTGCATGCGCTCGGTCTCGGTGACGGTCGAGGACCAGAAGAACGAGCCCGCGAAGGGGCTGGACAGGAAGACGCGCGACGCACTGGGCGTTCCGCGTGGCGAGTCTGCCTTCTCGGACGTCAAGCTGCTGCTGGCCGTCATGACGCCCACCTACGCCTGCGACGTGCGCAACGTGCACAGGGCCACCTGGATGACCCACAGCCGCGTCTGCGCCTTGCGCCGCCACGCAGAGGCTGGGTGCTCGATCATGCCTCTGTTCGTATTCGCGAACGCCTCGCGCGACGCCGTCGAGGAAGCCGATGACGTAGTGTTCCTGCCCGACGTGCAGCCGGCCAATCGCCAGAACAACGGCGTCGGGGTCTGGTGGAACCTCGGCAAGAACAGGGAGATGTGGAGGGAGGGCCAGTACAAGACCCCGGCGTGGTTCCGGCACGCCCTGCAGTACCCCTGGGCGACGCACGTCGCAAAGATGGACCTTGACACGTACCCCTTCGTGACGGCGATCTACAACGATCTGCTCCGCCTTCCGCCCACCCGCGTTTTCTACGGCAGGCAGTTCGAC